ATGTGTCCTATCTAAATGTCAGTAATGTAACCCATCAAATTAACCAATTTCTATTTTTGTTGTTGATTTCAGGGAACAGAGTTGAAATTGAACACTATAAGCACCAAACCTTATTTTTTTAGCATAATTGATCATTGAAATATTATACCTTCTCTTCTATATATTTTGTTGATTTTTAACATACCTGTAAAATGTATTATGACAGGAAATCTAAAGACAGCCTTGGCCATGATCTTGATGAACTGTCCCTAAGGAGTTTCTTTTTCATGAGCTTTGAATGTGGGATGTGAGAGTGTTCTAAGTTCTAAAAGTTTACCACAAATATTGGTGTTTTATACTATCTGAAACTTGATAGAACGTCTTAATATCTTTTCAGTGGGTTCCATTTGGGTTCCAGATGTCTTGTCACATTTATTTTCTAGCCATCTAAATCTGGAACAGCTGTAATTAGAGCCCTGGTCTTTAGATAAACAGTTGTGTTGAGAGTCTCTTTCTATTTTTCCACTAATACATGCATATTCTGAAAATCAGATTCTTTCTGACTCTACTGGGATAGATCATTCTGTTATTACTTTTGCACCAACCTAATAATAATTGTAGTGGTCACAATACTTTCTCAAATTCGTTATCAGCAGTGCACCAATGCCAGTAATGAAATACGTATAGCTTCTACTAATTCAAAAGTAATGACAAAAAACCATGTAACATAGGTCCTCCTGTTGTTATTTATAGATGTTGAACATCTGTGTAGACAGTCAAAAACACATATTGATAGATTTGTCTGTGAAATTATTTAGGTAAAGAATTTGGAATTCTGCATTACGGAACCTATAATTTAATGAAAAGTAAAGATAGAAACATATTTTCAATTCTGTGGTCAAAGTGGGAGGCCAAAGTGAGAGGGACAAGTGGGAGGATCACTTGAGTCCAAAAATTCAGAACCATCCTAGGTAGCATCTAGGTAGTAAGACCTCATCTCTACAAGAATTAAACAAAAATGGGAGTGTGGTGGTGCATGCCTATAGTCCTAGCTACTTGGGAGGCTGAGGTGGGAGGCTGGTTTGAGCTGGGAGGTCAAGCCTTCAGTGGGCTCAGATCATGCCAGTGCATTCCAGCCTGGGCGACAGAGGGAGAGACCCTGTCAATCAGTCAAATCAGTCAGTCCATCCACACATCCATCCACCCATCCATCTATCCATCAACCCATCTGTACATACTTACATACTCATTGGGTAAAAATAAAAATTACTTTTACCAATAATTACATTATTCATGTTTACATTGTATCATAATCATTTATTTAATCAGAGATTAGGCTCAATCATCAAAACACCCATTAGAAAATGAAAAAGGCCTCTGGATAGATATTAAAAACTAAGATTACTTGCAAATAAAGATCCGCACACAGAGAAAAACTTAGTCATTTTTGAAAGAATAAATAACACAAAACCACATAATTAGCAGGATTGCTAAGAGATAGTTCTGTACTCATGTTCATAGGAGCATTATTCAACAAAAGTGGAAAAAACCCAAGTGTTCATTGACAGACGAGTGGATAAGCAAAATGTAATATATATATAGAATTGAATGTTATTTATCCTTGAAAAGGAAGGACATTCTGATACATGCCAGAACATGAATGAACCTTGAGGTCATTATCTTAAGTGAAATAAGCCAGTCATAAAAAACAAACACTTTAATGGATTCCACTTATATGAAGTATCTAGAGTAGTAAGACTCATAACAACAGAAAGTAAAATGGTGGTTGCTAGAAGTGGGAGAAATGGCAGGTTATTTAATGGGTATAAGAGTCTCCACTTTGCAAGAGGAAAGTTCTGGAGATTGGTCATACAGTACTTTATGCTACTGAACTGCACATTCAAAAATGGTTAAGATGATAATTTAAAAATTTTTATTGTAGTAAAATACATATAACTTAAAATTCATGTTAACCATTTTTAAACATAAGCATACTTCATTATTGTGATTTGCTTTTTTGTGCTTCACAAACATTGTGTTTTTTACAGATTGAAAATTTATAGTAACTTGTATCAAGCAAGTCTATTGGAGCTATTTTTCCAATGTTATGTGCTCACTTTGTGTTTCTGTGCCACAGTTTGGTACCAGTTTGGTACTTTTCACAATATTTCAAACCTTTTCATCATTCTTATATCTGTTACAGTGATCTATAATCAGTGGTCTTTGGTGTTACTATTGTAAGTGTTTTGGGGCACCACAGACTGTGCCCATATAAGATGGCCAATTTAATTGATAAATGCAGTAAGTATGTGTTCTGACTGCCCTACCAGCAGTCATTACCCTGTCTCTCTCCCTCTCCTCAGGCCTCCCTGTTCTCTGAGACATCACAATATTGAAATTAGGCCCATTGGTAACCCTACAATGGCCTCTAAGTGTTAAAGTGAAAGGAAGAGTCACACATCTTTTACTTTAAATCAATAGCTAGAAATGATTAAACTTAGTGAGGAAGGCATATTGAAAGCTGAAACTGGGTGAAAGCTAGGCCTCTTGCACTGAACAGCCAAGTTGTGAATATAAAGAAAAAGTTTTTAAAGGAAATTAAAAGTTACGCTCCAGTGAACACGTAAATGATAAAAAAGTGAAACAGCCTTTCCCTTTCTGATGTGGAGAAAGTTTGTGTGGTATGGGTAGAAGATTAAATCAGCCACAGTATTTCCTTAAGCCAAAGTCTAATCCAGAGCACGGCTCTGACTCTCTTCAATTCTGTAAAGGCTGAAAGAGGTGAGGAAGCTGCAGAAGAAAAGTTTGAAGCTAGCATAGGTTGGTTCATGATGTTTGAGGAAAGAAGCTCTCTCCATACCATAAAAGTACAAGGTGAAGCAGCAAGTACTGATGGAGAAGCTGCAGCAAGTTGTCCAGAAGATGTAGCTAAGATAATTGATGACAGTGGCTGCACTAAACAGAATTTCAATACAGAAGAAACCGTTTTCTATTGGAAGATGTCATCTAAGGCTTTCCTAGCTACAGAGGAGAAGTCAATGCTTGGCTTCAGAGTTTTAAAGGACAGGCTGGTGGTGGTGACTAAGTTGAAGCCAGTGCTCATTTACCATTTTGAAAATCCTAGGGCCCTTAAAATTATGCTAATTCTACTCTGCCTGTGCTCTATAAGTGGAACAATGAAACCTGGATGGCAGCACATTTGTTTACACCATGGTTTGCTGAATATTTTAAGTCCACTGTTGAGACCTGCTGCTGAGAAAAAAAGATTCTCTTTAGACTGTTATTGTGCATTGACAGTGCACCTGGTCACCCAAGGGCTCTGATGGAAATGTACAAGGAGATTAATGTTGTTTTCATGCCTGCTAACACAGCATCCATTTTGTAGCCCATAGATCCAGGAGTATTTTAGACTTTCAAGTCTTATTATTAAGAAATACATTTTATAAGGCAATATCTGCCATAAATAGTGATTGCTCTGATGGATGTGGGCCAAGTAAATTGAAAACCTTCTGGAAAGGATTCACCATTCTTAATGTTATTAATAACATTGGTGATTCATAGGAAGAGGTTAAAAAAAAGTCAGCATTAACAGGAGTTTGGAAGAAGTCCATTCCAACCCTCATGGATGACTTTGAGGGATTAAAGACTTCAGTGGAGGCAGTAACTGCAAGTATGGTGGAAATAGTAAAAGAATTAGACTTGGAAGTGCAGCCAGAAGATGTGACTGAATTGCTGCAATCTCATGATTAAACTCGAACAGAAGAAGAGTTGCTTCTTATGGATGAGCAAAGAAAATGGTTTCTTGAGACGGAATCTATTCCTTTTGAAGATGCTGTGAACATTGTTGAAATAGAATTTTCCATAAACTTAGTTGATAAAGCAGTGGCAGAGTTTGAGAGGATTGACTCCAATTTTGAGAGACACTGCTGCAGGTAAAATGTTATGAAACAGCATCCTATGCTACAGAGAAATCTTTCATGAAAGGAAGAGTTAACTGATACAGCAGACTTCACCGGGGTGTTGAGAAATCATCCCAACCTGGACTTCTAAGCAGCACACGTGCCTCTCTGCACACTCAGTATTCTCCAGCATTTTCCTGCTGACACTCCAGTCAAATCTTAGCTCTTTATCTGTTGCCTTGGTCCTTTTTTTGTTGAGGGTGTACCAGTGCCAGGCTTCTCTAGTCAGCCATCTTTCTGATGTCAGTCCTTAAAATAACTTTTAGAAAACCAAATACTGCATGTTCTCACTTATAAGTGGGAGCTAAATGATGAGAACACATGGACATACAAAGGGGAACACACACTTGGGCTTTTCAGAGAGTGGAGAGTGGGAGGAGGGAGAGGATCAGGAAAAACAAATGGGCACCAGGCTTAATACCTGGGTGATAAAATAATCTGTACAACAGACCCCCCACGACACAAGTTTACTTATGTAACAAACCTGCACATGTACCCCTGAACTAAAAAGTTAAAATTTTTTTTAAGACAATTGACATTGTGAAAGAAAAAAGAAAAAAAAAAACCCATAACTTTTATGTGTACTGGGAAACCAAAATAGTTATGTGGCTTACATTATTGTGATATTCCTGTTATTGCAGTGGTCTGGAACCAAACCTGTAATAACTGCAAAATATGCCTGTATCCAGTTTAGTGGTCTTAATCTTAAACACTTTCAAAGTGTTGTGCAGCCGTAACTCTTTTCAATAACTCAATTTCCATAACTCTTTTCATCTTGTAAAACTCAATCACTGTACCCATTAAACAGTGACTCCCCATTTTTTCACTCCCCTTAGTCTCTAGCAACCACCATTCTGTTTTCTGTGTCTGTGATTTTGACTTCTCTAAGTGCCTGACATAAGTGGAATCATGCTGTATTTTGTTCTTTTGTTACTAGGTTATTTCATATAGCATAATGTCCTCAAGGTTCATCCATGTTGTAGCATGTGTCAGAATTTCCTTCCTCACATTTTGCTTATCTATTCATCTGCTAATGGAACTTTGTTTACTTCCATGTTTTAGCTTTTATGAATGATGCTCCAATAGACATGGGTGTACAGATATCTTTTCAAGACCCTGCTTTCAATTCGGGTATATATCCAGAAGTAAGATGGTAAATTTTATCTTATAAAAAACTCTTTTAAAACACATAATCAAGGTGAAGTCAATAAAACCTTTGTTTTGATGTGGAAAATCATTTTATCTTAAGGCAATGAGACAGATTTTTTTGAAATGAATGAGTAATAATACCATTACCACTCTCTCATATTCTTACCTAAGGGATCTCACCTAGGCTTCCAGTCTGTCAAATAATACACATAGAGATCCAAAAGTAGGAAGAAAGGAAAAAGAGATAGGATGCTTACCTGACAGTTCTCTCTCCTTCACCCCACTATTTTGGTTTTTGAAGTTTGTTTAAAATTCCAGACTCTCTGGTTTGCCACATAAAGTAGGCAAGCAAAGTTAGATATGGAAGTTAGATTTACCTCATGTTTCCAAGGAGTAAAACTAAGTCTTAGCATGCATTCTTTTGACCACAATGACCTTACAGCTCATCTCAGGTAACAGTGTTACTTAGTTGTCATAGTAGTAACTGTAGTTTTAAACTGCAACCTCCATTTATTACAAATTTAATCTAGATTGGCCAGATGACTGTTATGAATATTATCTCTCTTTTTAGAGGAACAGTGAGACTAGAATGTCTCCATGGGCAAGTAAACAAGTTGGTGATGAGTCTGAAACATATATTCTATGAAAGGAACTGGGGATATTTCATATTAAAAACAGCCAAGACAGGAGCCATTATCTCTGTCTTCAGATATTTGAGGGACACTTATATGAAAGAAGAATTTATTTAGAACATGAGTATACAATTACAGAGGGAAAGATTTCAATTTCACATTTAAAAAATACTTTTTGTAACTTGCAGTTGCCCTGCAGGCTCCCTTGTGGGGAGGTATACTCCCCCAAAAGAATTTTTTTAAGAAAGTAGCTTACTGACTGACCAACAAGGAGAAACCCTTTCTCTACCAAAAATACAAAATTAGCCAAGTGTGGTGGTACACGCCTGTAATCCAAGCTGCTCGGGAGGCTGAGGCAGGAGAATCATTTGAACCCGGAAGGTAGAAGTTGCAGTGAGCCAAGATCGTGCCATTGCACTCCAGCCTAAGCAACCAAGAGCAAAACTCTGTCTCAGAAGAAAGGAAAAAAAGTAGCTTACTTTCTATCTGGAGAATTATACAGGAAATGCCTTCTTGGTGGTCTCTGGGACATTTATTTGGAGCTCTAGGACTTTTACTCAATCCCCAAAGTAATAAAGTTGAGAATTAACTCGGACTCCTCCCTTCTCGCCACAGCAAACTGATTATTAGTTCTTTTTAATTCTACTTCTCAATACAGTTGTTTAACTATAACCCCGTTTCTCTGTTTATCATTGCAACTGTCTTAGTTTAGCTTCTAATCATTTCTTGCTTAGGCCATTGAAGTAGCCTCCAAACTAGTCTCCTTGCTTCTACTCTCATGGTTTTGATTTTAATTTCCATATGGTCAACATAGTGACCTTTCTCAATACAAACCAAAACATGTCATTCTGCTCAGAATCTTTCAGTGGCTCCTCATTTTTGATACTGAATGACTAAAGTGGGGAATAAATATTTGGAATAACTACATTTTTAATCTGGCTGTTAAGAGGAAGCAGTCAGATAGATGTAAGAGGAAGCTAGGTAAGTCCTTATTTATTTTTTAATCTTGAAAAATTTTATATATTTCATATATATATATGATATACATTTCATATATATATTTAAAATTGTATATATATAGTTTAAATTTGGACAGGGTCTTGCTCTGTTGCTCAGGCTGGAGTTCAGTGGCACAATCATGGCTCACTGCAGCCTTCACCTCCCGGGCTCAAGTGATCCTCCCACCTCAGCCTCTGAAGTAGCTAGGACTACAGATGTGTGCCACCACACCTGGCTAATTTTTTGTATTTTTATAGAGAGAGTCTCACTGTGTTGCTCAGGCTGGTTTTGAACTCCTGGCCTCAAGCACCCCTTCCACTTTAGCCTCCTAAAGTTCTGAGGTTACAGGCTCTGAGCCACCATGCCTAGCCAAGTCCTCAATTTCTTACAGCTGAAAATGTATGACAACAATAACAACACGGGCTTAAATGTAAAGAAAAAAACCCACCAAAAACACTTGGGTGTTTAAAATTAACTTTGAGAAATTTGAAATACAGCTGAAATGATTTTTAATGAAATTATGATAATGATTCAACTAATATTCTAAATTTTTCTACAATCTGAACATTCCAGACCTTTGCCTAATCATCTGCTTAATTTTTATTTGGTCTGGATATTTTTAAAATCTTATTTTATTTCGCTTTGTTCTTTATGAAATTAATTATGTTGGCCTTGAATCTGACCAGTGCAAATTTCTTATATGGCTTTATAAAAAAATCGTACTTCAGTGAAAATAATTCCATAAATGTAAGAACTTATACCTTCCTGTGCTCTTTGTTTACCTAAGGAAATGCAACCTCACCACAGGTACAAAGACCATCTTTCATGGACTACTTTGATAAGCAAGACTTCAAGAATAAGAGTCACGAAAACTGTAACCAGAACATGCACGAACCCTTCCCGATGTCCAAAAACGTTTTTCCTGATAACTGGAAAGTCCCTCAAGATGGAGACTTTGACTTTGTAAGTACATTTTAATTCTTCCATTTATGTTTTCCCCTTCTGTATTTTATCATCAAATTGAGAAGCATAGTTCATATGTGTAGGAACCATGTGTATGTGTATACAATTGTAGGCCATATATTAATATTCTTTATACAGCCATATACGTGGATAGAGGAATTGTGAAATTGGAGCTTGCTTATAGAAATGTACTTGCAAAGAAACAATTTTTCATAGTTAAATCATAGCTCAAATTTCAACAAATATTCAAGACTCTTTAAAATGACAACTTTTCAAAAGATGTTTTCATTAATGCAAGTATGAGATACTTCTGAGAGTCAGTAAACCAAAATTACCAAAATTATTGATGCTAAGATATTTATGATATATAGCTTGAGAATTTGCTTCAACTTTGAAAGTATGTGAGTTAGTTGCTATTTGAGTAATTGTTAATTCCACTTGGTTTTTCAGAAATAATAGTCATATTCTGTACCTAGGTAGCATATAAACCTCAGCATAAAACTGCCTTATCACTTATTTTGTTACATCTTCTCTTTATTTCTTCTACCCTGGTTCTTCTTACTTGTTTGAAAGAATGCATAAAATACAGATAAGCTGTTATAAAGTAGCTATTTCCAGAGCTTGAGGGAATAAATTCTCAAAACGAGTTATTTAATGGAGTGAAAATATTAAGGAGTTATTTTTTACTTTAGCACATTTTAAATAATAGTGTTACTTTTGTATATTGTTCTGGAAGATTTTTTTCCTCAAACGAAATAACTTCATTATCTTTTATAGTTTTATTTATTGATAAATATATGTATAAGTAAATATAATTTTAGATATATGCAAATATATACTTTTTAATTTAGGAATGTTTAAGTAATGTTAAGCCATTTTGCTTGAACAACATGACTCTAAATTCTTTGAGATGATAAATATTTAAAGTACCTTTTCCCTCAGTATTATGATTTTTAAAATAATCAGATTATTATCTATCCCCAATAAATTTAGTACTAATTGCCAGCAAATATTAGCAGTGTAATTCACAGGTTAGCCTGCAAACATCATTGTAATCTCTACTTTATATTTTTTCAATATCATAGTAATCAATTAGAAAAATAAAATCAATTTCTCTTTAGTTCTAATAAGATTTTATTTTAAGCTATCTACTTTTTAAAAAATTATAAATTATTTAGAATGCTGACATTTAAGCTTTAAATTATTCATGAATGTAATGAATAATGTAGAGTGTAGCCTCAAAGAGTTCTATCTTGTCAGTTGGAATAAATCTTTTTTTTGGCATAAATTTAAGGGTACAAGTGCAGTTTTTAAAATTTACATGGATATATTGCATCATGGTGAAGTCTGGGCTTTTAGTGTAACCATTACCCAAATAATCTGCATTGTACCCGTTAGGTAATTTCTCATCCCTCACTCCCTTCTTTCCTTTTCACTCTTTCAAGTTTCTGTTGTCTATTATTCCACACTCTGCATCCATGCATACACATTATTTAGCTCCTATTTATAAATGAGAACATTCAGTGTTTGACTTTGCTGTTTCTGAGTTGTTTCACTTAAGATAATGGCCTCCAGTTCCATCCATGTTGTTATGGCTGAATAGCATGGAATACATCTTAATGGGCTCTGAGAAGCTGTTTGAAATGAGCTACAAAGTAATGAATAAATTATCATGGTTATGAAATGGCAAAAGAAAATAATTTAATTTTGCTTCAGTTAATCTTTCTACACCCCAAAACTTAATGGATTAAAATAACAACAATTTTGTGGGTTGATAGTTTGTCTAGGTTCATCTAAGTGGTTCTGCTGCTGGGCTCACCTGGGGATTCTTAAGTGACTGAAGTCATCTGCTAGCTGGGGCTGAACAGTTTCTCTAAAATTACAACAAATGTGTTGGCAATTGTGCTGACTATTGGCTAGGTCATATGATCTCATCAGGCAAGCCGGGGGTTTTATATGGCGGTAGTAGCCTTTGAAGAGGAAGAGAACAAGGTTGTAAGGCCTCTTGATGTCACCTTAGAATCTGCACAGTGTCCATTGACAATAGCATCCAAAAGAATGATATACTTAGGAATACTCAGGATACTTTACCTACTTTTAATCAAGTAGGTAAAAGACTTCTACACAGAAAACTGCAAAAATGTGGGTGAAAGAAATTAGACATTGATACATGAAAAGACTTTTCATATTTATAGATTATAAGATTTTTTTATTGTACGTTAGGTTCTGGGGTACATGTCCCCATCAAGCAGAATTGTTGCATAGGTACATAGATGACAAGGTGGTTTGCTGCCTTCATCCCCGCATAACCTATATCTGGTATTTCTCCCCACATTATCCCTCCCCACCCCGCCCTGAACTGACCACAGTGTGGTGATGCTCCCCACCCTGTGTCCACGTGTTCTAATTGTTCAACACTCACCTATAAGTGAGAACATGCAGTGTTTGGTTTTCTGTTCTTGTGTCAGTTTGCTGAGAATGATGGTTTCCAGATTCATCCATATCCCTATGAAGGACACGAACTCATCGTTTTTGATGGCTGCGTAGTTTTCCATGCTGTATATGTGCCACATTTTCTTTATCCAGTCTATCAATGATGGACATTTCGGTCGGTTCCAAGTCTTTGCTATTGAAAACAGTGCTGCAGTGAAGATACGTGTGCATGTGTCTTTATAATAGAACAATTTATAATTCTTTGGGTAATGGGATTGCTGTGTCAAATGGTATTTCTGTTTCTAGGTCTTTGAGGAATTGCCACACTGTCTTCCACAATGGTTGAACTAATTTACACTCCCACCAACAGTGTAAAAGCTTTCCTATTTCTCCACATCCTCTCCAGTATCTGTTGTCTCCAGATTTTTTAATGATCACCATTCTAACTGGCGTGAGATGGTATCTCAATGTGGTTTTGATTTGCGAGCATTTTTTCATATGCTTGTTGGCCTCATAGATGTCTTCTTTTGTAAAGTGTCTGTTCATATCCTTTGCCCACTTCTGAATGGGTTTGTTTTTTTCTTGTAAATCTGTTTTAGTTATTTGTAGATTCTGGATATTAGCCCTTTGTCAGATGGGTAGATTGTAAAAATTTTCTCTTGGTTGCCAGTTCACTCTAATATTGTTTCTTTTGCTGTGCAGAAGCTCTGGAGTTTAATTACATCCCATTTGTCTATTTTGGCTTTTGTTGTCATTGCTTTTGGTGTTTTAACCATGAAGTCCTTGCCTATGTCTATGTCCTGAATGGTTTTGCCTAGGTTTTCTTCTAGGGTTTTTATGGTGTTAGGCCTTATGTTTTTAGATCTTTAATCCATCTGGAGTTAATTTTAGTGTAAGGTGTCAGGAAGGGGTCCAGTTTCTGCTTTCTGCACATGGCTAGCCAGTTTTCCCAACACCATTTATTAAACAGGAAATCCTTTCCCCATTGCTTGTTTTTCTCAGGTTTGTCAAAGATCAGATGACTGTAGATGTGTGGTGTTGCTTCTGAGACCTCTGTTTTGTTCCATTGGTCTATGTCTCTGTTTTGGTACCAGTGCCATGCTGTTTTGATTACTGTGGCCTTGTAGTATAGTTTGAAGTCAGGCAGCATGATGCCTCCAGCTTTGTTCTTTTTGCTTAGGATTGTTTTGGCTATGCGGGCTTTCTTTTGGTTCCATATGAAGTTTGAAGTGGTTTTTTCCAGTTTTTTGAAGAAGGTCATTGTTAGCTTGTTGGGGATAGCATTGAATCTATAAATTACTTTGGGCAGTATGGCCATTTTCATGATGTTGATTCTTCCCAACCATGAGCATGGAATATTTTTCCATCTGTTTGCGTCCTCTCTTAGTTCATGGAGCAGTGGTTTGTAGTTCTCCTTGAAGAGGTCCTTTACATCCTTTGTTAGTTGTATTCCCGGGTATTTTATTCTCTTTGTAGTAATTGTGAATGGCAGTTCATTCTTGATTTGGCTTCCTTTAAGTCTGTTATTGGTGTATAGAAATGCTTATGATTTCTGCACATCGATTTTGTATCCTGAGACTTTGCTGAAGTTGGTTATCAGTTTCAGGAGATTTGGGGCTGAGACGATGGGGTCTTCTAAATATACAATCATGTCATCTGCGAATAGAGACAGTTTGACTTCCTCTTTTCCTAATTGAATACCCTTTTTTCTTTTTCTTGCCTGATTGCTCTGACTAGAACTTCCAATACTACGTTGAATAGGAGTGGTGAGAGAGGGCATCCTTGTCTAGTGCCAGATTTTAAAGGGAATGCTTCCAGTTTTTGCCCATTCAATATGATATTGGCTGTTGGTTTGTCGTAAATAGCTTTTATTATTTTGTGAAACATTTCATCGATACCTAGTTTATTGAGGGTTTTTAGCATAAAGTGCTGTTGAATTTTGTCGAAGGCCTTTTCTGCATCTGTTGAGATAATCATGTGGTTTTTGTCTTTGGTTTTGTTTATGTGATGGATTACATTTATAGATTGCTTATGTTGAACCAGCCTTGCATCCCCAGATGAAACCTACTTGATCATGATGAATAAGCATTTTACTTTGCTGTTGCATTCGGTTTGCTGAATGCATTTTATTGATTTTTGCATCTGTGTTCATCATGGATATTGGCCTGAAGTTTTCTTTTTTATTTGTATATCTGCCGGTTTTGGTGTTAGGATGATGTTGGTCTCATAAAATAAGCTGGGGAGGATTCCCTCTTTTTGTATTGTTTGGAATCATTTCAGAAGGAAAAACCAGCTCGTCTTTGTACGTCTGGTAGAATTTGGCTGTAAATCTGTCTGGACCTAGGCTTTCTTTAGTTGGTAGGCTCTTAATTGCTGCCTCAATGTCAGCACTTGTTATTGGTCTATTCAGGGTTTCAACTTCTTCCTGGTGTAGTCCTGGGAAAGTGCAAGTGTCCAGGAATTTATCCATTTCTTCCAGATTTACTGGTTTGTGTGGATAGAGTTGTTTGTAATAATCTCTCATGGTAGTTTTTTTTTTTCCTGTGGAATCGGTGGTGATATCCCCT